TGGTGATATTGTATCAACCGTTTTTAGCCAGCATTTTTGGTGTAGTTCCACTGGATTTGCACGATTGGGCTTTGGTGTTGTATTTCTCTTTCCCGGTTATTCTCATTGACGAGGTTATGAAGACTTTTGGGAGAATTGTGGTTGATAAGGAGATTGAAAAAATGCATGAGCATCAGAGTGAGCTGATGCATCATGCAGTAGAGAGCAGCGATGATAAGATGGAGTAGAAGAGACTATTATCATCGTCATCATTATTTTGATATACGAAGAACTGAAACACTCTGGTAGTGAGTAGGTTGTTGCGTTGTAAAAGTCAACAGAGTCTGGCATGGACAGGCTTGTAGGGAACGACATTATGTGAAGTCATAATGTGGTTGATCGTAGAGAAAAGTACTTGATGAGTATTATTTCCATTGTTGTGAGTACTATAGAGCGGGCGAGTCTGTCGCGTATGAGGCTGCAGTTGAATGTCGAAATCTTGTGGTTGTTGGTACGGAGAAAAGTGATAAACATGAAATTGAGACGACACATCACTGCTTAGTTTTACGGTCAAGTCAGATGATGAAGTTGCCCACGGAGGTGATATTAATTTGGCTATTATGATCACCATCATTGCAATAGATGTTATGAGACTAGTACGGATCTCGAAAGTAATCGCATATCCAACCTGTACGATGACAACTGTTGTTGTGAAACATTCTATTTGGCTAACCAATACGATGCTTTGCTTCTGTGAGATGTATATTGACGAGGAAATCTCATGTGTACTGCATGAGAATTTGTACAAGGATATGAGGTTGCTTCTCGGAAGTCTTATAAAGTTCGGTGCGTGGCAACAACGTGTCGGAGTGTTCCAACAGGGAAGTTTCTGTACAGCGTGTAGGGTTCTCACATACCGTCAACAAGGTATAGTAAAACTTGTTGTTAAGACACTCGAATATATCAATACCGTCAACAAGGTATAGTAAAACTTGTTATTAAGACACTCGAATATATCCATACCGTCAACAAGGTATAGTAAAACTTGTTATTAAGACACTCGAATATATCAATACCGTCAACAAGGTATAGTGAAACTTGTTATTAAGACACTCGAATATATCAATACCGTCAATGAGGTATAGTAAAACTTGTTATTAAGACACTCGAATATATCAATACCGTCAACAAGGTATAGTAAAACTTGTTATTAAGACACTCGAATATATCAATACCGTCAACAAGGTATAGTAAAACTTGTTATTAAGACACTCGAATATATCAATACCGTCAACAAGGTATAGTAAAACTTGTTATTAAGACACTCGAATATATCAATACCGTCAACAAGGTATAGTAAAACTTGTTATTAAGACACTCGAATATATCAATACCGTCAACAAGGTATAGTAAAACTTGTTATTAAGACACTCGAATATATCAATACCGTCAACAAGGTATAGTGAAACTTGTTATTAAGACACTCGAATATATCAATACCGTCAACAAGGTATAGTAAAACTTGTTATTAAGACACTCGAATATATCAATACCGTTAGTTAAGGCGTGTGTATATACGGGCCTAGTGGCCTATCGCCCTTAAACATACAATCGCCGACTCCAGTGACCGCGAGAGGCTCAACGACAGGTCCCCCAGAAAACAATGAGTGCGTAAGGAAAGCAATGAGTGAATGATGAAGCCAGGTTAATGGTATGGTGTTAATTACAGAAGGCGCTTTTTCCTACAACTTTTCGGGTAGAGTAGCGCGCGGTAGTAAAATCGATCACGTGATCGATTTCGGCCGAAATGGGTGTCGGTGGACCCCCGGCCTACCGAGTCCAGCATCAAGTCACTGTTGACTATCTACTATGGGAAAATTGTAAGTCACCGAGGGGGTGCCGTTTCTGTCGATTCGTCGCTGTCATGCATAGTAACTTCTTCTCCTTTTCCTCAGCCTTCGTGCCGGACGTGTTGTCATCCTCCTTAACGGTCGCCAAGCCGGTCACAAGGCTGTGATTGCCAAAGTCAACGAGAACGGCACCAAGAGCCATCCCTATGGGCACTGCCTCGTCGTTGGTATCGAGAAACATCCCCAATCTGTCACTAAGAAGATGAGCATGAAAAAGCAGGATAAGCGCTCTAGGGTGAAGACCTTCGTGAAGTATGTCAACTTCAACCATCTGATTGCCACCAGGTAGTGCATATAGAGTTGAAGTAGTTGTGATGGAAATCGTTGTTATTATAGGTATACTCTCCCTCATGATATCGATGGTAAAACTTTGGTGTCTGATGAACAGATGCAAACTGTTGATGGCAGAAAGCAGGCTAAGTTGAGTTTCTCTAAATTGATGAAGGAGAAGTTCCAAAAGCCTTCTCTCGAGAAGAGCGGCAACAAGCCTTCCAAGGACTTGGTCTTCCTCAGAAGAAAGCTCCGCTTCTAAGTGTAGTGATGGTGGTGATAGCAACAGGTTGAGGTTGGTGTGGTACTGTCGCTGGTTCTCGAAGGATGGTGACACGTGTGTTGTGTTGAAGTAATAGCAGTTGGAGTGGTATTATGTTGTCATCAATTGCATGGTGACAATGAGCAGTATTATGTGTGCTAATAAGTGGCATTGGTAGGGGGTACTGTAGATGAATTCCCGAGGCCCACTAGGCTCGCCACAGAGTTACACAAGTAGTAGCAAAATGAAATCGCGGTGGAGCTGCTGAACTTGGCTATTACCGAATCAGTGTTAAAGGATATATAGACTCTCCCTGAAGACCAACTTAGCAACTCCACTGCGCCACAAAATTCCCATTACTACTACGAGTGGCTGTAGAGGAAGTACTCTAGATGAAGTCATTTCAGCTGATGATGGTAGCAATAGTGGTGCTTAGCTGAGGGAAATGAGGAGAGCGGGAGTATGGGAGTAGTGATGCTTTTCACTGAGATGAATTTCATTCACTGTATTGTGTAGTCCTACGATATGTAGTTGACCCGTGTCACCATCATCAGCGAGCATGTCAACATCGGAGTCACCATCCAGCACTATATCGTTCTTGGGTCGAGACTTGCCCCGTAGTAGAGTGGAGAAGGTCTTCAAGGGAGCGTTGGGAGGCTTTGTACTCCTCAATGCTGTTATGGTAAGTTTGACAGAGTTCAACCTGGCCTTCATCGCAAATGTCCGGGAGGGAACACTCTGAAGTGTTGCACATGGTCAACTACATGTGTTGGTGACAATATGAAAATTTGGCGGGAAATTTTGGGAAATTCTCGTTTTTCAGTTTCCGTTTCTGTACACTTCTACCCGAATTCGTTTGTAAACTTCTCCTGAGCTCGGCTGAGGAAAGCGAACATATTTTCCAACGCTGCCCTGAATGGTGGGCTCTCAGACACTCGTGGTGTTTGAGATGAGTCTTTTAGCATCGTATCGTATTCCCATCTGTTCAACGGCTCGTGGCACTCCTTCTGACGAGCTCTCGTGTTCGTGGTCGCCCATGCACTATACCCAGTTGCATGTCTAGGGAGCCGTTTTTAGATACCCTTGGTTGTACCAAAACTTTCTCGACGATATCGGGGGCCGCCTTATCTGCCTTCTACCGACAAGACCATTGATGCTGTGTTCAAACACCTTTTACCTCGATCGGGCATAGTACCAGCTCAGTCGACGCTGTTGGATTTGGGTAGTGGTGATGGCAGGGTCGTCCTTGCGGCTGCTACTACTGGGGGGTTTAAGAAAGCTGTGGGAATTGAAGTAAATCCATGGTTGGTGATGCTATCGAGAATGAAGGCGAGGAGGGCCCTATGGGGCCTGGGGCCTGCCCCGCGATTCTACTGGGGCAACGCATTCGATGTGAGTCTAATACGGAAGATAGATCCCCAAGTAGTGACCTTGTACGGTCGGCCAGGTAAGCGAAGTGGGTTGAGCTTTATGAACGCATGCTCGCAGGTGATGGTGTTATGGAGCGGTATGGTGATGTGCTTGAGGAAGCCCTGTCGGGAAAAGGCGGGATAGTTATCTCTAATAAGTTTGGTATATGTGGTTGGGGTCAACGCCTCATTGGAGAGTGCGATGGAGTTAAAATGTACAAAGTTATTCCTAATGTTGACAAAACGCAAGGAGAAGATACGTTGTAGTTTCTGTTGGTCTATAGTGTTGCGTCTTCCTCATTGTCTTTATTGTGTGTTTCTCATTAGTGATGTTATCAGCCTACTGTAGTCTTTCCAGAGGAGTGGCAGTCTCCTCCTGTTTGCCTAAGTTAGTACGCCCATGCAGTTTAGGAAGGGACCGGTCCTTTTGCGTTGAGTCTAGGAAGCCCTTGTCAATGTAAGAAAGAGATTTCTGTTTTTGTGGAAGCCTCTGTTAGGTTTACGGAAGACCAGGAGCTGTTGCGCGCTACTGTTAAAACGTTTGCTAATGAGGTTATCGCTCCGTTGGTGATGAAAATGGACGAGAACTCGTGCATGGATAGCAGCGTCATAAAGGCTCTTTTTGAGAACGGGTTTATGGGAATGGAAATAGAAGCTGACAAAGGTGGCAGCGAATTGGGTTTCGTAGAAGCTCTCATTACGATTGAGGAGATCTCTGCTGTGGACCCGGCCGTTGGTGCTCTGGTGGATATTCATAATACTCTTATACCGAGGTCAATACATTTGTATGGCAATGACGATCAGAAGGATATGTGGTTGCCACGGTTGGCGCAGGATACTGTTGGGGCTTTTGCTCTTTCGGAGGCCGGCGCGGGCTCGGATGCATTCGCGTTGAGTACGACGGCGACGAAGGTGCCCGGGGGTTGGGCGATTAACGGCGATAAGATGTGGATTAGCAACTCTAAAGAGGCGGGCTTGTTTTTGCTGTTTGCTACTGTTGATCGCTCCCTGGGCCACAAGGGAATCACGGCGTTTCTGATGCCGAAATATGAGGGAGATTTAGTACGGGAAGGCTTCACCATTGGAAAGCCAGAGAAGAAATTGGGAATAAAGGCTTCTAGTAGGTGTGGGAGATTGTTGTGATTTGGTGAAATTACGGTAGGTACGTGTCCTTTAAACTTCGACAATGTGTTCCTCCCTGATAGTGCTCTGCTGGGGAGGGTAGGTGAGGGGTATAAAGTTGCGATGTCTCTCCTTAACGAGGGCAGGATCGGAATTGCCGCGCAGATGCTGGGTATAGCAAAAGCCGCTATAAAGCATTCGATGAGGTGAGGGTAGTCTCTTGTGGGAAGAAAGAGCCGTGCGTGGTAGGTATATGAGTGAGAGAAAACAGTTTGGGAAAACACTTTTGGACTTCCAGGGAATGCGATTTCAGTTGGCAGAGTTACAGGCGGAGGTGTATGCAGCACAGTTGTTGGTGTAATATCAGCGTAAGGTTGGTAGTTTCGCTCGAGCGGTTACGGATGGGTGAAAAATTCCGTTCGCCTCAAGGGGTGGTCTGGATAGCGGCTGTTTCTTAGTGGGGTGTTATATGCGTAAAATTGGATAAGTAATTTTCGGGAAAATTTTCAAGAATTTTCGTAACCGCACGCGATGGTAGCACATTTCTTCATCATAGAGAAGTGCCCGACCGAGTGAGAAGAGGTTCTCTCTGGGGTGTCTAGAACCGTCGCTTTATATGGGTTATCGTGATAGTATCATGGTGACACCACCATCGTGTCACCACCGGTCTTGTATAGTTACAATGCCGCTGCATTGAAGATAATGGTGGACCAGGGTGAGCTGTCTAGTAAGGATATCATACTGGAGTGTAGTGCTGCCAAGCTGACGCATCGAGGGTGGCGGAAGAGGCCGCTAGTAAAGGCATAGATGGCTGGGAGGTGTTGGTTTTACTCAAGACTATCCCTTGGAGAAGTTGTACAGGATGCCAAGATTGGGCAGATCTATGAAG